CCTTTAATCCCAGCACTCAGGAGGCAGAGACAGGCAGATCTCTAAGTTCGAGGCCAGCCTGGTCTACAGAGCTAGTTCCAGGACAGCCAGAGTACTGAATGTTTTAAGAGCGTACTGAAAATGTGTTACTCAAGGGAAAGATTCTTTCAGATTATTATTATTACCACCCCCCCACCCCTCCACCCCCCGCAATAAAGCTCTGATGCTGGGTTTTGTTGTGACTTTTTCACCCAGTAACAGCACCGCTATATATTTAAAACAGCAGCTCTTGTAGAGGATGTGGGTTTGATCCCTGGCACTCACATGGCAGCTCAGAACCATCTGTAACTCCAGTTCCAGGGGGCCCAGTGCCCTCTTCCGGCCTGCATAAGCACTAGACATACACAGGGTGCACAGACACACATGCAAAACTCTCGTTCACATAAAAGTAAAATTAATGAAATTTTCAAAAGAAAAGAGAAGCCTAGCTTAGGCATGGAGAAAACAGACTTTTCTAAATGCCCTTGAGGGGGTCCTGTGCCTTTTGCATACCTCAGTTTCCCCAGATGTGATATGGTTGTTTGCTGGAGGCTGTTAAGTCATGGTTGGCCCAGCTAATACAGACCCATATTTTCTTTCTTTATCTTAAACATTAACTCACATTTTTTTTCCCACTTAAACAAATAAGGAAACTGAGACCCAGAGTTGGGGGGAGCCTCCTCATTCCCTAACATGACAAGCACGGAGAGCACAGCTGCTTCCCTGTCCCAGAGAAGATGGGAACATGCCTCTAAGTGGTAACTTCCCCTGCCTATGCCATGGCAGACATCACTAATCCGTCACAGCATCACTGATTCATCTGTGGCTGTACTCATAGTCATTTTATGTTCTCCACTTAGTAAGAGGGCCCCACAGTTCATGTGTTTTTATCTGAGCATATAGTTATCTACACCATCCCCAGAGCAGAGAGAGACAGAGACAGAGATTATACCCACGCTCACACAAGGAGACTATTTTCTCACAGCCTTATAGTTGGAGATGTCCTAGTACTAGTCAATGACATAAGAGTAGAAACAAGTTCTTCTAGGTGTTGCCTCTAATAGGAAGAGGTCCACCCCCTTCCCCCCTCCTCACTGGCTGGAATGTCACAACGACTATGGTAAGTGCTGCAGCGCCATTGTCCTTGTCCCAACACCCTAGGGATGCCCTTTGTGCTGTGCTCAATGGAAAGATGGAGCACACTGTGCGGGCTCCGGTTCAAGTGCTCCACCTGGATCCTTCTAATCAGCACAGCCGTTCTCACTAGGCCCCTTGGCTAAGAGTCCTCAGCGCGGCACCGCTGAGTCATTTCCCCGTGCCGTGCGCCTCTGAGCGTTAACATTTCCTATTGTGTAGAGAAGTTCCCCGGGGAGTGGGAGGGAAAGAACTGGAGCCCTGAGTGGACTGTGTGGGTCTCACAATGGACGAGAAATAACGTGAACAGCAGAGAAAAGGAGGGAGAAGGAGGAGGGTGGGGAGTGAAAGGAGAGTGTCATAGCTACAGGGTGAGTTGGTAAGCACCTGGAGAGAGGAGAGAGCATTGTGGTCATATATTGTGTACCCTAATAAAATTTACCCGAAGACCAGGGACAGCCACAAGATTAAACATAGAGGCCAGGCAGTGGTGGCACACACCTTTAATCCTAGCACTTGGGAGGCAGAGATCTGTTTGGATTTCTGTGAGTTCAAAGCTACCCTGGCTGGGCCGTGGTGGCACACGCCTTTAATCCCAGGACTCGGGAGGCAGAGCCAGGCGGATCTCTGTGAGCTCAAGGCCAGCCTGGTCTACACAGTGAGATCCAGGACAGGCACCAAAACAACACGGAGAAACTCTGTCTCGGGGGAAAAAAAAGCCACCCTTGATTATGTGAGATTGATTTGGTCTAGGAGAGAAACAGAGCCAGGCAGTAGTGGTGCACACCTTCAATCCCAGCACTGGGAAGGATTAATATGGTTGGGTGGAGAAAGGTATATAAGGCGTGAGGAGACAGGAACTGAAGCTTTTTCGGCTGGACCCCGTTCAGCTGAGGACTCAGAGACATTCAGTCAGAGGATGTGAGGAGCTGGCGAGGTGAGAAGCAGCTGTGGTTTGTTCCTTTGTCTCTCTGATCTTTCAGCATTTACCCCACTATCTGGCTCTGGGCTTTTTATTAAAAGACCGATTTAAGATTCGTGCTACAGAGCATGGGCGGGGGAGCCTGGTGAGGGGAACGGGGGGCGGGGGGGGGGGGGAGCGAGGACAGTGGTGGTGGGAGACACAGGGAGCTGCAGAGACAGCTCAGCTCTGCTCTTCCAGAGGACCTGGTTCAGTTCCCAGCACCCACATCAGGCATCTCACAGCTCCTGGAGATCTGACAGCCTCTACTGGCCTCTATGGGAATCCCCATACATAACACACACACACACACACACACACACACACACACACACACACGGATACATTTTTAAAAAATCTACCTGCCTTTGCTGAGGTTAAAGGCGTGCACCACCACCACTCGGCCTAAGAAAAGAAATCTTAAAAAGAGAATAGATATAAGGTAGCAACGTGGATACTGACGGAAAGAATGATGGAAGGAAGGATAGATGGGTGGGTGAATGTGGATGAATTGTGTGGGCACAGGTGGGTGGATGGATTGTGTGTGCACAGGTGGGTGATGGGTGGATTGTGTGTGCTCAGGTGGGTGATGGATGGATTGTGTGTGCACAGGTGGGTGATGGGTGGATTGTGTGTGCTCAGGTGGGTGAATGTGGATGGATTGTGTGTGCTCAGGTGGGTGGATGGGTGGATTGTGTGTGCACAGGTGGATGGATTGTGTATGCACAGGTGGGTGGATGGATTGTGTGTGCACAGGTGGGTGATGGATGGATTGTGTGTGCACAGGTGGGTGAATGTGGATGGATTGTGTGTGCACAGGTGGATGGATGGGTGGATTGTGTGTGCACAGGTGGATGGATGGGTGGATTGTGTGTGCACAGGTGGATGGATGGGTGGATTGTGTGTGCACAGGTGGGTGATGGGTGGATTGTGTGTGCACAGGTGGGTGATGG